TTCGATAAAAGTAAGTTAAAATGTAAAAGAACAATGCAACTCGAGGAGCAAATGGCGCAACACAAGGTCGCGTGTCATGAGAACGGATCCAAAAGATCGTGCTAGTTCAACTGCTAACTAGGTTGAACACAACGAGAACACGGAACAAAATTATTCACTGCACAAGGACATAAGCAAACGGGCATAATCAGAACACTGCTAATTCGCCAGTACTGATGATATCACCTCGGGTGGTGATGAATGGTTCACAAACAAATTGTCACGTTTGGCGAATAGGCGAAATGGAATTATCATAGTTTTCGTCTTCGATTGACACTTATATACCTGAGTATCAGTTCGGTCTATGGTAACTGTTTGATTTTCTCCAATACTCTCATATCCACTGCAGTAGGTCAACCGGTCTCGTGAAATAATCCCACTTACACATAGACCGAGCGTTGTGACGAACCCATGCACCTGATGAGATTTTAGTTACCAGTTGCACTTCATCGAATACAAAGTTTGATGTCTTCCAACGCAGAGATAGCTGAACTGTTATAAGGGACTTCGTCGTGGATAGAGCAAATGAAACGTGAACCGAAAAGCTAGGAAGCACCGGACAGCTGTTTCGACCCAGTTGGGTCTCATCATCGTGTAAATGGAAAACGGTCTGATCGGATGCCGGGTGGGTAGCATGCTTGCGTTCTGCCTGTGATGTCCCGTGTTCGATCCCCGGTTGGATCGATAGATTTGCACTGTTAATGTGACCCAAACAGGTCGAAGCAGCTACTCGATGCTTCCTAGCTTCTCAGTTCACGCTTCATATGCTCTATACATGATGAAAATTCCCTTATGAAATTGCACCAAATCCTGCAATACTCTCATGCAAATAGCTGACTTTTATTGTTTTGTTTAGGACTCCTCCCTTCCTGTCTTCAAATGTGTGTATTATGATTAGATTCGTGTCAGTATCACATCTGATGATCGATCCTCTCCGTGGCTTTTGGTTATATAAACAGTCATAGATTAATAAAATGAATTGTTAGTTAGTCGGTGTAATAAACACCAGTTCATTTAATTGATTATCTTGATTAAAGCCCAGTGACTGTTTTATATTGCCTGAAATGTTCCATGCCTTTTTATCATCTCTTGTGTGGTGGTTCGCTTAGCCATCATCAGTTGATGAATCCGAGTAACGATCCATTTAAATTTTGGATACTGTTTTGATAAGACTAAATGGCAGTTTTACCGATCCCTAGTGTTATCCACGCAAATATGACGAAGGCTTTTGGCAGTCTTGACTTACCTATTGATTGATCTGAAGCGAATTCCCCCCCCCCTTGTGAAAGTGTAGTGTAGCACTGTTCCTGCCTTACTCATTCTCCGGATAAACTTAGACGCCGCTAATCGGATTTCTTTGATTTTCTAGTTGTAACATCGCTCTGTGTTCTGTTCTCTCATTTTCTATCTAAAGCGGATACGGTTCCTTTGGGTGATCAGACAAGCGTTCGTTCACCATCAACCAATCAACAATACTCAAAGCTACCAATGTCCAAGTGCGTGATGCATTCTTTTTCTCACTCACCCTCCCTGTCCGTGATACTTTTTCTCCCGTTACTCTTTGTCCCACCCCCTCAATTGCCTGTACACTCAAACCCATGCGTGTTTTCTTCTACTACAATGAATATGCATTGAACAGTCTGGTTGTTCTCACTGCTACTGGTCCAAGAAATGTTACTGCTGGTAGTGCAATTTGTTAATTTGCCAGACTGGAACGTCTAAGTTAAAGACCAATCACCGCACGTAACAATTAAAACCTATTCTTAAACTGAAACTGTCCCTGCCCAGCACTTCTATTGTGTTCTAGGTTTGAGCACTATATAAGATTACAACTGAAGTAGGTATATTTAAAACCTGTCCTGTTGGACACATCCGATTGGTGCCAGACTGCCTCGAACAGCCATGCCAAGACCTGTTAAGTGCGTATTCGTCACCACTTTCCATTGTTGATCCGAATCTTGTTTCATATAACTCGATGATCCTGTGTTCTAAATCCCAGTCCAACGCAATCCGAATTCGGAGGTCGCAATGATTATCGGAAAGAGGGTTGGTTTGGTGCCGTACTTCATGGTTTGTTACGCTGATTCCCAATTAGGCGTCCTTCGTTTCATTCTTGTGCTCCATCATGGCCTAAATCCGTGACCTTCAGGGAAGTGTCACCAAAGCCAAGCTTTTATTCCCGTTTGAAGCTACTATTGTTGCAGATTAACTAATCCAAATCACGATACTGATGCTATGCTTCATCGGTACCATTATTACACCCACCAGTCCCAGTGGAATGAATCTTCTAATGATTGAAACGAAAATATTTGAATGTTATTTTCTCCAAACGTCGCAACCCTGGTCAACGTATTGTTTGTAATTTGAATGTGAAGCATGGAGTGACAGATTTCATTCAACTTCGGACCTGATAAGTTGTGCTATGGTAATCTATGCGTGACAGGTTTGTTTTATTGCGAATGATCGGTAAATTGTCAGTCGGCTAATCACATAGTACTGAGGGATATTCCGAATGGTTTGATCCGTTTGAAACGCGTCGGATTCTACCATCGATGTGAAGATCCTACAAGACATGCACAGTGTTCTGTGCTCTAATCGTTAATCCCATACGCGCTGTTTAATGAGATGGATCAGTCTGAACCGATAAGAAACAAATTCAAATCTGGATTATCGATTTCCACTGACAGATATTAGGTCTCTTGATCTCCAGAAAGTGGTTTCTGTCCTTCGTTATTTTGATGTATTTACAAAACAGTGTTTTTTGTTGCATGATCAACGTGGGTGAGGTTTTTTCAGCATTCACTGAACAGTATGCATACCGATCGATTGTCCTGTGTAGACAAAGTAGGACCAAATACGA